TAAAAAGAAAGCCAGACAAGCAACCAAAAATATGCTTTGCCCAAGACACCTGCTAGACTGCTAGCTACAAGACCAGGCCCCCTCGTAGGCCCGATCCAATACCCAGGCTCAAAAGAATCCACACCAGCAAAGGCTGAACAGATTACGGGCCGGATATAAATTTGGGGGCAAAATCGCCCACTGAAAATATCTATTAACAATAATATTATCCATTAAATATTAAACTTCATGTTTTACAATTTAATGCACTTTAGATTATATAACAGTTTTTTTCTAAATATATAAATACAAAAATCCAACAATATACTATAAATTAAGCTGATAATGTGAGACAACTTTTTATATAACTTTTCAATATAATTTTTATATATTAATAAATAAATAGATATATATGATATTATAGATATTAATAAAATAAAAAAATTAATTATTAAATAATATGTAAAATTATATAAAAAATTATGTCAAAATCATTCTTTGGCCTTTTGCTAAAGAGAGCGGTGCTAGGGGCATTCACTTTTTGCGCTCTCCGGCCAACACTTCTCCTTTTATTGGGCCACGTAAGCTTCTTTAAAGCTTTCAGGCGCAACCTCTTGCAAACCAAATATAGTTCTTTTTTTCTTAATTTCAGAGAGATCAATTTCTTTTCTTATTTAATTTTATCATTATTTTTTTTACTTTAATTATTTAATCTTATTAAAAAAGGATACTATCTTTTTATCTTTATTTTTTTAAAAGATAATATAAATAAAAATATAAATTTAAAGATAAAAAAATGTATTTTATTTTAACTGATGGAGCATCTAATCTAATTTTCTTAATATTTTGGGAATATCCGTATTGTTTGAGATGACGCCTGCTTCTTCAGACTTCAATACTTCTTCCCCAGCGCTTGACATCAACATTTGTGGTTGTCGCTGGGCGGACAGGTGAAGCAGCCGGAGAGTCTCAAAAATCTTAGCCGCCGGTGTCACTAAAAAGTCCAAAATCAGTTGTTGCTTGACTGACTTTAGGAACACAACAATTAAAGCCCTATCTAGGCTTTAATCGCAAGTTGCGCCCCAAGTCTTCAGCAGGCTTAGGACAATCGCAAGTTACGCCTTAAGTCTTCAGGCTTAAGACAATCGCAAGTTACGCCCAAAGTCTTCAGGCTTAGGACACCCCTCCCTGGGTGTCACGCAACGTTGAAAAAAAATGGAAAAAACTCACCTTTCAGTTTTCCCCGTAGTACACTGTACACTGACAGTCTAAAATTTCAAGGTCGAAGTCTAAGTGCCCCATTATCAATGAGTGCGACGCTAATTTGAGATTTCAATGTCTAAGCGCCTCGTTGTCAATGGGTGCAAAGCTACATTTGAGATTTTTGTGTGGTGCCCTGTGAATATGGATAAAAATTAAAGCTTTTTTTTAAAATTTTTTTTTAATTCTATTAAATTGTAAAACATAAATTTTAAATAAAAGATAACTCTTAATACTAATAATATATTTGATTTTAGAAAAATAAAAAAATAATAAAATGAGAGAAATGAAAGAATATGACATATTATAAAAGATTCTCCTTTTTTAAAAATTTTTCTATTTAATTTTTACTAACTAAATAGAAAAATTTTTATTTTTTATTTTTTTTAAACCAAACATATTATAATTAAAGCTTTGCTTTTTCTCTAATAATTTAAATTGTAGAATTCAAATAAAGTAATAATTTTTAAAAAATTTATTATTATTAATATATTTGTGGTGACAAGCAAAGTTTATTAAATTTGTTTACATTCAAATAAAAAGAGATGAATTCAAACATGTTCTTTTGCGCACACTTCTCTTCCATTTTTATCACTTGAGAAAATCATATATAGAAATTATTAATAAATAATAATTATAAATATATCTTTTAATTTAATACATCTTACAATATATTTATTAAAAATATATATTTTTAAATTTAAATTAAAAGTAAAATATTAAAAATTATAAAATTTAATAACTAAATCAATATATATTATAAAATATATTAAATTAAAAGACAAATCAATCATTTCTTATTACCTAAATGTAATAGACCTCATCCCCAAATTTTCAGATCAAATGAACTACAGTCAAGACTCGAGAATGCATCCACCTGTCCAAAGTAGACTTGGTTGGAAGTCAAGAGTGCCGTGTGTCATAGGTGAGAGACACACGTCAATATATGAAGGGGATGGCTTAGGGCGCTGTTTGCTTAGCTCTTTTTAAGTAGTAATTTTTAAGTGAAAATTCATATTTTTTTTATCTTTTTAATTTTAAAATTTAAAACACTAGGCCTTGTAAATTAGTTAGTTAATGTATTTAATACCTTAATTAGTACTAAAATTTAAACTATGTTAATACTGTATATATATCTCTTTCCTCCCTACTCCTAAATTGTAATAGTTCAAATAAAATTTTTAATTTAAAATTTAAAAATTTATAGAAAAAAGTCTTGAATTTAAGAAAAAAAATATAATTTTTAAACAAATTTTGATAAAAGTAAAGGTTTGGAGCTTTTTGGAAAATTTGCTTATAAACTTTTCTTTTTTTGGGTAAAAGTCTCCTTTTTCACCAAAACTAATTTAAACTTAAGACATAAAAATAACTTCTAGCAAATCCCAAAAAATCAGCCAAATAGCTCCAATGTGTCCCTTGGAGTATATTGGGTTAAGGGGAATAGGGGGAGGGAAAAGAAAAAATTTTTTATTTGGTTATTAAAAAAATTAGAGAGGGAAGAAAAAAATTTATTTTATTTTATTTT